TAGGGCTTATTTTATTATTAATATAGGCCACACACGTGTGTTTGAAACTAAATATAAGCATTTTCATCGTGGTTTTACTTATTACAATCATAGGCCTATTCTTTCACCATCATTACACATTGAGGCCCTTCTTTTAGGTAAAACGATCTATCTTAAATTTTCTTTCTCAAATTTGGGACTATTAGGTTTTTAAATAACTTAGAAGGTAAAGTAGGGCAAGCACAAGCTTTAACCCTAACAAATGCGCGCGAAGCGCTCGAAAAATATTTGTGTTTTTAATTCTAATTTCGTCGGAATTGATCAAAACTCCCTAAATGTGCAATTTTCAGAGGAAATTGGCCTACCTCAACAAGGAATGCTTTTATGTTATATACGGCCACACTCGTTTTTTTAAACTGAATATAAGCATTTTACTTATGGCTTTATTACAAACGTATTCTTTCAACATCATTACACATTGAGGCCATTCTTTTAGGTAAAACGATATATCTTAAATTTTCTTTCTTGAGTTTGGGACTATGTGTTATAACTTCGAAGGCAAAAGAGAGCAAGCACAAGCTTGAAGATTTCAAAATGCGCGAAGCGCGCGAAAATGTTTTGTTCTTTTTTAATTCTAATTTCATCGGAATTGATCAAAACTCCCTAAAATGTGCAATTTTTAGAGGAAATTGGCCTACCTCAACAAGAAATGCTCTTATGTTATATATGGCCACATTCGTTTTCTTAAACTGAATATAAGCATTTTCCTTATGGCTAGCTTTATTTATTACAAACATATTCTTTCAACATCATTACACATTGAGGCCCCTCTTTTAGATAAAACGAGCTATCTTAAATTTTCTTTTTTGAGTTTGGGACTATGTGTTATAAATTAGAATGCAAAGGAGAGCAAGCACAAGCTTTAACATTAAAAAATGCGCGCGAAGCTCGCGAAAAATTTTTGTTTTTTAAATTCTAATTTCGTCGGAATTGTTCAAAACTCCCTAAAATGTGCAATTTTTAGAGGAAATTGACCTACCTCAACAAAATATGCGATTTAAAATTTGAGGTTTTCAGGCACTTTCCCGGGTGAAAAGGGCATTCAATGGGGAAAGATTTTCCACAGATGGA